TTTTTTTTTTTTTTTTACAGAGAGGAAGGGAGAGGGATAGAGAGTTAGAAACATCGATGAGAGAGAAACATCAATCAGCTGCCTCCTGCACACCTTCTACTGGGGATGTGCCCACAACCAAGGTACATGCCCTTGACCAGAATCGAATCTGGGACCTTTCAGTCTGCACATCGATGCTCTATCTACTGAGCCAAACTGGTTAGGGCAGTGGTCGGCAAACTGCGGTTTGCGAGCCACATGCGGCTCTTTGGCCCCTTGCGTGTGGCCCCGAAGGTTCATTCACCCTGTACATGCGCGCCCGCATGTGGTATTTTGTGGAAGAGCCACACTCAAGGGGCCGCAGTTTGCCGACCACTGGGTTAGGGCAACATCTTTACTTCTTGAGGTAACTTTACAGGTGTAGACAGCTAATCATAATTCAATGCTTTCCTGTCACTCCAAAATACTGTTAACTTCCTTTGTAGGAGTTCTTTAGGTCTTCATCCTTTGCTGATACAGCTTCTTTTTACAACTGCCAACAGGTTCTCAGGTATACCAGATAGGGTGACTTCCACTTGAGAATGCATTCCAAAATATTAGTATTTCCAGGTTTGTCATGCTAATCCCCTGCCCAAGAACTTATAATAGCTCCCACCAGATCAAGTGTTTATTTCTAAGTTCAATGTTCCCATATTTGGTTTCCCATTACCCACTTAACCTTATTTCTTTTCCTACTAATATGGATTATCTTTTCCAGGAAGGCTGTCTTCCAAACATCAGACTGACTTACTCTTACTTCCATAATAACACTTAAAATTTACTATATCCTTGCTCATTAACCTTTAATACACCTGGGAGTAGTCATTACTATCTCAATTTTATAGACAAGGAGCCACACCTAGAGATAATAACGTGACAAGTTTAAGATAACATATCTGGTTATTGGTAGAGCCAATATTCAAATCCAAGTCTGTCTGGAAATGAAGCTAGTGCTCTTGGCCAATTAAATTTAAATGGGCTAAATGGATTTAGGATTTTATGGTTAGACTGCTTAAAAGAATACACCTAAATTCTGTTTATAAGAAACACACCTAAAATATATGGATACAGAAAGAGTAAAAGTTATAGGATAGGACCAGAGCTGGTATAGCTAAACTTTAAGATAAAAATCATTATTATGGACAAAGAGGGATATTTGGTAACTATCAAAGTTTCAATTCATCAGGAAAATATATTAAGCTTGCAATATCTAATACATAGCTTTAAAATACAGAAAGAAAAATTAGCAGTACAGGAAAAATAAGTAAATCCATAATAATTGTGGGAGATTTTAACATACTTCAATAACTGATAAAATAAGTAGACAAATGCCAGTTAGGACATAAGAAACTTGAACAAAACAACTGTTAGGTTAAATTTGTATTTTGGAAACACTCTATCCCAAAATAAGAGAGAATACTTAACCTTTACAAATACAAATGGAAACTATTTGGAACTGAATAATAATGAAAATGCTATTATTAAAAGTTGAATAAATTAATTGCTTAGAGAGAAATTTCTAGCCCTAAACAAATGTATCAGAAAACAAACACACCAAAAAGGTTGAGAAGTCAATGAGCTAAACATTAATTTCAAGAAATTAGAAAAAAATGTAGCAGATGGGAAATGACAAGGAATATTATCAGATATTAATAAAAAAGAAAGCATATATATAATAGGATCAACAAAATAAAAAACTGGTTCTTTATAAGAACTGACGAGAATGTGGAGAAAAGGGAATCATTGTACACGATTCGTAGGAATGTATTTCGGTGTAGCCACAATGGAAAACAATAGGAAGTTTCTCAAAAAATTAAAAATAGAACTGCCTTATGACCTAGCAATCCCACTTCTGAGTATACAGCCAAAGGAAATAAAATCTGAATTTTGAAGCTATCTCTACACCTCCATGTTCACAATAGCCAAGATATGAAAACAACCTAAATATCTATGCATGGATAAACGAGTAAAGAAAATGTGTCACACACACACACACACACTGGAATAGTATGCAGGCTTAAAAAAAGAAAGATATTCTGTTATTTGTGACTGTATCAATGAACCATACTGGAGGACATTATGCTAAGTGAAATAAGTCAGACACAGAAAGACAGTACTGCATGATCTCACATATGTGGAATCTAAGTTAGAAAAATTTACAGAAACAGAGAGTAGAATGGCTCCCTTGGGGGAGGTGGAAGTGGGTAGATACTGGCAAAGGGTACAAAGTTTCACTTATACAAGATAAAAAAGTTCTGGAGATCTATGTACAGCATGGTGACCATAATAAATTCTGTATTGCATACTTGAAACTTGTTAAGGGGGTAAATCTTAAGTGTTCTCACCACACACACACACACACACACACACACACACACACACACACACACACACACACACAAAAAGAAAATGGTTACTATATGAGGTGATGTATATGTTAATTAGTTTAACTGTGGCAATAATTACACCATATATATATATATATATATATACCAAAACATCAAATTGTTATGGTACCTTAAGAACATATAATTCCTGTTTGTCAATTATACCTCAATAAAGCTAAAAGAATTTTTTTAAAAAGCTGGTTCTTTAAAAAAGTAATAAAATTGATTAATGCCTGGGAAACTGATTAGAGACAAAGAGAGAGGGAGCAAAATAACCAAATGTCGGGAAAGGTGGGACATACTACAGATCCTACAGACATTAAAATTATAACATAAGATACTATGAAAAACTTTGTCAATAAATTTAAAAATGTAAAGTAAGCAATGTGTTAGAAAAACATTGTCTTAAACTGAAACAGTTTCAGTTTCAGAAACATTGTCATAAACTGAAATTAAAAATCTGAATAGCATTAAACTATTTAATGTGTAAATAAAAACCTTTTCATAAAAACTCAAGATTCAGACTGTTTCTTTGGTGAATTCTAACAAATGTGTAAAGAAGAAATAATGATCAGTCTTACATAAAATCTTCCTGGGACAAGAAAACAAAGGAGTCCTTCACAAGGCCAGTAAAACCTGACAAGTTCCTATTAGAAAAGAAAAATAATAAATCAACCTTACTTATAAACATAAATACAAACCCTTAAACAAAAATTTAATACACTGTATTCAGTAATACATAAAAAGGCCAAAACATCCTGATTAGGTTGGGTGTATGACAGCATTGCAAAGTTAGTTGAACAGTGGAAAATCAACATACGCAATTTACCATACTAACAAAATAAAGGAGAAAAACATATAATCATCTCAAAAGCCACAGGAAAAAAACATCTGATAAAACTAAAAATCTAGGATTTAAAGGGGGGGGGATTGCTTAATCTGATATAAGGTTTATTTTAAAAAAGTAACCCACTTTAAACAATGGTGAAATGTAGTGAAATTTCCCTCTGAAATCAGGACCAAGATAAGGGTGCTATCATCACAACTTCTATTTAACACTATACTGGAGGTCCTGTCAGCTGGGTAAGGCAAGAAAAAAAAAGTACTGTACAGGTTTGTAAAGGAAGAAAAAGAAATACAAGAATTGTAAAGAAAAAAATCAACTGTTATTATTCATTGTTATATAACTGCATGTAGAAAATCTAAAAGAATATGCATACAATAGTTAAAATAGCATCTTACTGATAAAAGGTAGATAAAAAGATCAATTGAATAGAACAGAGGGCCCAGGATAAGACTATTGCTATATGAACACTTGATTTTTGACAAAGGTGACAATGTAAAGTAAGATCTTTTCAACAGGTAATACTGAGGCAACTGGATACTCATATGGAGACAAAAAGAAACCTGATCTACACCATAAGCAAAAACCAATTCCAGGTAAACTGTAGGTATAAATGTGAAAGGAAAAATAAGGCTTCCAGATAGTAATATAGGAGATATATCACATTCACAAATAATGATATACAAATGGCCAACAAATATACAAAAAGGCACTTGATCTCATTAGTAATCAGAGAAATGCAAATTAAATCCACAATAAGGTAATCCTATCTAATAAAAGACAAAAAGGGTAATTAACCGTACCTCCGCTATGCTTCCCATTGGCTAATCAGGATGATATGCAAATTAACTGCCAA